GTTTTTATTGCTGGAGTATGAAGGGGTATCTTATATCTACTTTGGTATACCATAAGTGGATAATAGGAGGGTATCATTTACATCAACAAGCTATTTTCCTTTACTTAGACTGTCTACATCAATATTGTTAATGTAGATTACATTACTTGTGTAAATATAGTAATCTATAGGGGACACTGTAACATTGTGGTGACTGGATGGATATCTCGTAGGGATATAGTGGGGGTCCTTGATAAAAGTCTCTTAACTGCATATATAATCAAATATTTAGTTAAGTAATTAATGACAGTACACATTATCATTAACTTTTATAATACCATATTTTCTTGTCTTTATTAAAGAACATTTTATTAAAATTATCAATTCTTTATTAAAGAACATTAGAGTAATTAATATTATCAATTCTTTATTAAAGAACATTTAATTAAGTGATATTATCAATTCTTTATTAAAGAACATTTAAGTAATTAATATTATCAATTCTTTATTAAAGAACATTTAAGTAATTAATATTATCAATTTTTTATTAAAGAACATTAAATTAATATTATCAATTCTTTTTTAAAGAACATTTAATTAAATTATCATAATCAATTTTAATACTTTTACTGTTACTGTTGATCCATCTCCGTTTTTGTGTCGCCTCTACGGAGTAGTGGCGACATATAGGGATCACTTCTCCGTCGTCTGTCTGTCTGTCCGTCTGTCTGTCTGTCTGTCTGTCTGTCCGTCCGTCCGTCACAAAACTTGTCCGGACTACTCCTCATAAACTACTGGTGCAATTTCATCCAAACTTTACAGGAATGATCAGTACCAAGTCTAGTTGTGCATATTGTCAGCATTTTCCGGTTCAATGATTTTTGTCAGAGTTATGGCCCTTTAATAATTTTTAATTTTAAAGTTTGTCCGGACTACTTCTCTTATACCACTAATGCAATTTCAATGAAACTTCACAGGATTGATCTGTAGCTCAAGTCCTTGCGCATATTGCACGGGTTTTCCGGTTGAATGATTTTTGGCCGGGTTATGGCCCTTTGATAAAAACGTTTCTTTTTCTGTGTGTTGCCAGATACACAAAAGCTTGTCCGGACTACTCCTCATAAAGTACTGGTGCAATTTCATCCAAACTTTACAGGAATTATCAGTACCAAGTCTAGTTGTGCATATTGTAAGCATTTTCCGGTTCAATGATTTTTGTTTGAGTTATGGCCCTTTATTAATTTTTAATTTTAAAGTTTGTCCGGACTAATTCTCTTATACCACTAATGCAATTTCAATGAAACTTTACAGGATTGATCTGTAGCTCAAGTCCTTGCACATATTGCACGGGTTTTCCGGTTGAATGATTTTTGGCCGACTTATGGCCCTTTGATAAAAAGGTGTTTTTTTCTGTGTTTTGCCAGATACGCAAAAGCTTGTCCGGACTACTCCTCATAAACTACTGGTGCAATTTTATCCAAACTTTACAGGAATGATCAGTACCAAGTCTAGTTGTGCACTGTCCGTCTGTCTGTCCGTCTGTCACAAAATTTGTCCCAACATGAAATTGGCCATCATGAGGCGACACATGTGATTACTGATCGCTCTTGTTTCTATTTTACAACAGTATAAAAGATTTGGAAAAATCATTAAATAGGATACTTTGTAATACTTAGTACAAGATAATATTTGCACTATCTTAAATAGATGATGTGATCAGATGTATTAAAGATGTCTAGTTATCATTATATTTGTTACTTTTAACTCTTTAAATATTAGTTTATTATTTTCTCTTTGTTGGAGATTAGGAAACGATTTTGAGTTAATTAATTAGGGATCTGATAAAGAACAGTATAAAACATGTCAACATTTTATGAGGCATTGTCCAGTGTATCTACCTTGATGTATGTCTGGCCAGGGATGGCTTGAAGGGGCCAGGTATAAAATCTACATAAAATCTTGTATGTTATTACATAGTTTGCTGGGGGGATAAAATTGTTTTACAAATCTATTTTATTGCCTTCCATTTCATAATAACTTTGCACTATTTATGATGTAGGAATTTTAATATCTTGTTAAACATTTTATACTACAAAGTATTTAACCTGTCAAGATTCTGCTTTGATGATACAAAACTTTTACAGTTTTTATTACATATACTATAACACCTTCCAGCAATTTTACCTTTTTTTTCAAAAACTTAAAATAGTGTTGCTTTTTATGTTAGTGTGAAAAGTGTTGGTGCTGTTTTTTTATGCATCTACAAATATACATTTTCATGTTTACTTTATGAAGTGTCTCTACATAAAGGTATTGAAATTTCAATTATGATTAGTAATTTAACCTAAATGTGGATATTTTTAAAGAAGCTCCACTGAGTTCCAAAAGTGTAAAATTTGAAATTCTTACAAAGATTAACATGTGCACTTCCTTAATACAGAAAAATATACAAGAAAATAATAAAAATATATTCTCAGAACTAAGATGAAGGAATATTTGTTGGGCATGTGACTACTGCTACTCCCAATCATGCAAACAAATAAAATCAAATTTGTGCACCCTATTTATAATGGCAATAGATGAATGTATTGTAAGCTTAATAAGGGCCCTTCTGCCATTTCAAGCACAAAAAGCAGCTATCACTATCGAATACCTAGCAATGTATTTTATTTTTGCCTTATTAATATGATGTGGATGATAACTGTAAAGAATTATTAAAGTTAATTGCTTGTTTTGTATTTATTTACTTTTTTGTTACTGTATAACAAAAATATTTTATAAATGGTAAGTTTAAATATACATGTATATAAAAGATATATGGCCGTGATATATGAGGGAAGTAATGTTAGCAGAACATGGTGAAACTACTGTATACTGTTTTATCCTGGTTTGATTGACACGTCTTTATATCATCTAGATGTTTGTAACAGCAAAAAATCTTCATGTCCAACTACAATCTTTATGTTAAATTTATGACATAATAAATGTTTTTGTTGTATTGATTCATGTAGAAAACAAAGGAAATTAGTGGGTGCCCTGACATAGAGGAAAACAATTAATGGCAAGTTCAAATTTTCGGTCAATTCTGACAAACATTTCCTGTCAAACTGTAGTTTAAAGTTTCTAGTTTAACATTTGTCATAAATAAATCTATTTGAATCAATCGGGACACAGGAGACATTCAAACAAACAAAGATACATGTATTTTATTTTCAGTCGCCCCACCACTGTGATTATCATCACAAATAGCATTATGCAGTAAATGTGCATCTTAATTATTCTGTAGAAAATTGATGTATTTTATTTCATCCTCTTGTAAAATAAAAATAAAAAAGTAACTTGCAGTGCCATCCCATTAAAACGACTTTTTAGGTTTTGAAGGACATTAATCTGTGATAGTATAGGAAAAAAATCTCTGATAAAATACCAGTACTGGTAGTAAAAATTCTATGATATTAACAGGGTCTTTCAAATAATTCTATTTGAAAGACTGTGGATATTAATACAAAAAAAAATTAAAATAGAAAAAAAAAACTATGATATATTTATACTTCAAACTTTTTTATTATCATGTTTATTGCAACATTAAAATTTCTTCTTCTTGATAATTTCTTATCAAAAATAGGGAAAGTAAAAATCTACAAGTTAGTGGCATTACTGTACTAGACTTTCATGCTTGCAGTTATGTGAAAACAGGAAGAATAACAATTTATCTATTCAGTTTTAAGCCTATGATACCACAAAACTAAATCTTTTCATAATTTTTTTCGATATTATAGTTTTATCAAGGATTTAAATTAATATCTTGTAGAAATCTCTCATAACGTTATTTTACCCTGTATTTCAGAGATAATTTACCAAAATTATTATTTTCAATTTATTGAAAAGAATAAAATCTAATCCTTTTAAAATGTAACACACAAAAAAAAAAAATTTTACTCTCAGTATGTTAAAAGTATTGCTATTTTCTGTCTTCATCGAGAAACACAAATGTTAAAGTTATAAATGACAGTAATAACTCTTGTTTTACTATAATTACTTCACAGATAATACATGTGTTTGACAATAGACATTGTAGTTCTTGAGAAAAAGTAGAGAGTTAATTTTGAGTAAACTGAGCAATATCAATTAAAAGAGGCACTTGTCTAATTGTTAAGATAACTTGTACATGTGTGGGGATAATTAGTGAGGGTGTGTGGCTGCCAGTTAAAACTCTCTCAGGGATAATCCTTCTCACCCAAAAACTAAATCATTATGTCAAAGTTAATCTTGTTATTCTGTGATACATGATAGAATACTAGGAAAGATAGATTACTTCCTACAACGATATATCCCACCTTGTCTAAATGGTCGAAGTGTATTTTATATTAATAGTTTTAAAGTGTTTTTAATATATAATCTGGATACAGTGTTTCAATTGAAAAGTAAGATTCCATTTATTTATTAATTTTTGTTTATTCAATGTTGATCCAAGTATTATGATATTTTCTTTTTATTATCAGGAAATATTTGAAAGACCCTGTTATTATTATAGGGAATAAAATGTATTCCTAAAAAAATAAAAATAGTTACTATGTTAAATATATCTTAAATTTTAAGACAAAGAAACTTTTTCAGGGATATTAAATCAACTTGAACATTCTGTTTTGTCTATTAAACATAAGTCTGTCATCATTAACACTTTAAAATCAATTAAGAAACAAGAACGATTTTCTTTTTATCTTTGTTTGTGAAAATTTGTCATAAGGTCTACATTTACACCATGTGTGTAAAGTTAAAAAAGAATTTATAATAAGAGGATTTATATTTTCAGTATGTTTTAAACCTTTTTTACTTTGACAATCTTTATAGCAGAAAGCAATTTATTGAAGAAATCTGTGCATCATGTTTTTTTCCATATGTTTTACATTATAATCAAACATGTTTTACGTATAGTATTATTTTCAATATCAGCACTCATCTGTTGCTAAACATATTTACCGCAATAATAAATGTGAAGTGTGCCATGATAAAACCTATAGGGTGGTCTAATTGACTGTCCTGTTATATGATTGGCTGTTTGTCAGTTGGGGCGGGACTATAGAAATGATTGACACCCAATTATCAAACAAGTGTAGGAGAATTAGAAATCTGTCATAATACCGTACACATGTTTGAAAATAAGAAGTATCTAAAAAATTATTAAAGCGTAAAAACATACAAATGATGGACTTAAGTGTTACATATTTTTATTTATCATTTTGTTAAGGAAGTAGATTTATATCAGAAGAATTGGTAAGATTATTTTAATCTTAAATTTTTCAAGCATTCTCATCATTTTAATTGGAATGTTCTTTTTTTTTCTTATAAAGTAATTTCTGTTTTTTGGTGATGCAAATAAAAGCTTTAAGTGAAGGAGGGATTTATTTGGTAAGAGGATTTGATCTGATTGAGAAATGCGTCTGCTTCAAAGAGGATAGTGATTGTGAATTTGAACGACGTAATTATCGGGTTGTAATTGGACTAGCATCTCCAGATAGAAATATTTTTAGTGGATGTTTTAATTTAAAATAATCTTTTCAAATATTTCAGAGTATTGAGAGTGCAACAGACAGCAGTTAGGACGTGGACATGACACACAGTAAACAAAGTTGATTTATTTTTCGAGAGGAGCTCTTAAATTTAAATTTGAAAAATCTACAAGGCAAAGATGGAGAATTCATTTGGATATATATTTGTTACATATGTGTTTTTTTCATGTAATTTACTACAATATTCTGAAGCTGTGACATACACAATTACTGAAGAAGGTGTGTCAAATGAATATATTGGTAACATTGCTGTTGATTTTAATTTTACTGTTCATATAAATGATGGGAAATTATTGCGATTTAGTTTCTTAAATCAAGAGCAACATCATGTTGCGTATTTCAACATTTCGGAAAATACTGGTGATTTACGGACAGTGGGAGTACTTGATCGAGAAAACGTGTGTAATGGTCCTGCGCAGTGTTCAGTCATTTTAGAAATCGCAGTTACAGCAACCAAAAGTTCATTTTTTGACAAAGTAAAACTTAACATAACTATTGAGGACATAAATGATCATGCACCTAAATTCACAAAACCATTTGAAACCATTTCATTTTCTGAAGACGCTAACATCGGCGCTTCGTTCACAATTGACGGAGCTATTGATCCAGATAGCTCAAAGTTTGCAGTGAAATCTTATAACATCACACCGACTGGTTTACCATTTATACCAAAATTAATAAAAAATCTCGACGGAACAGCCAGTGTTCAGATCATAGTCAATGATGATCTCGACAGAGAAAACACTGACCATTACAAAATTCAACTCATTGCGGAAGATGGCGCAATCCCGCCAAGGACCGGAAGTATTCCCATTAACATTACAATCACAGATGTTAATGACAATTTTCCAGAATTCACTAACAAAATGTACAATGCCTCAGTCGAGGAAGATATTTCAATAAATTCTACGATTTTGCATGTTACTGCAAATGATAGGGATATCGGAGACAATGGAAAAATCATTTACAGTTTTGCTGCCCATCAGCCCCAGGACATTGAGCCATTGTTCTCAATTAATTCTATTACTGGCGAAATCAAAACGATTGGAAAATTGATATACAGTCCTGGACATCAGTATCAAATAATTGTGGAAGCTAGGGACACTGGTCTGCCGCCAAAAGTAACGCAGGCCTTAGTATATATACAGGTTCAAGATGTCAACAACAACGCACCAAAGATAAAGCTGAACTTACTATCATCGTCAAACTTTGCAAAAGTTTCAGAGCATGCTGACATTGGAGCAGTAGTTGCTTTGATTGGGGTAACAGACGATGACGTTGGCTGGAATGGAATAACAAACTGTACAATAGAAAGTGACTCATTTGCACTGCAGAAGTCAGATATTAACGAGTATACCGTAGTTGTTACAAAGCCACTCGATCGTGAAACAAGGGCTGTATACAACATCAGTGTATTCTGTGAGGACCTTGGAACTCCGCCTATAAACTCCACAAGCTCTTTTAATATATCTGTTGTAGATGAAAATGACCATGTTCCTATCTTTTCAACTCAGAATTATAAAGCTAAGATCAATGAAAACAACAATTATGGGGATGTTATTTTAACTGTGTCTGCTTTTGATGCAGATGTTGGCAATAATGCTAAAATTCATTATGAACTGAGGAGTGACTCTTGGACTGATTTCATCATAGAACCAAGTGATGGAACAATTCGTGCAATGAAACCATTTGACAGAGAGGAACAAAGTCAGTATGAATTTTTCGTACTTGCGATAGATGGCGGCGAAGAGCCACATACCTCGACAGCTACGGTTATCTTGACAATCATTGATGAAAATGACAACAGACCAAATTTTGAGCTGGCACATTATGATTTCAAAGTTCCGGAAAATCATCCCGAGGAAAAAGTTGTTGGACAAGTTGTGGCCAAGGACAGAGATGCTGAAAATAATGGAATTGTGACTTACACTATTGCTGAAAATTTCAATATGGTTTTGCCATTTAAACTTGATCCTAATGGATTCTTAAAGACTAAAAAACCACTTGATCGTGAACAGGTGGAACGTTACGACTTCAGAGTTATTGCAACTGATCAAGGGTCACCTAATAGATTGAGCTCCTCTGTTAACGTAAGTGTATTTGTTACTGACACAAATGATAACGCACCTTTCTTTAATTCACCAAAACAATCCGGACAAGTAATTTACATATCAGTGACAACTCCTGTAAACACGCCACTTTATCTAATCAAGGCTGATGACTTGGATGATGGGAGAAATAAAGAATTGACATACACAATCGAGGACAGAAATGATACACATATTTTTGATATCAACGACATGGGTCAAGTACTTGTTGCAAGGCCGATGGAAAAGGGGGAGGTAAATTTATACATGATTGAGATAGTAGTGTATGATAATGGAAATCCTCAAAATTACGCAAAAACTAGGTTGATGATGGCAGTAACGGTGGATAACAATACAACCATGCCTCCGGTTAAAGAAGGTCTACACAGCCAGAACTTGCTGATTGCCCTAACTGTTGTTATCGTTACAGTCGTTTTGGCGGCAACAATCGTTGTCACAATTTGTGTGATTCGTAGAATGGATAAGAAAAAACGTGAATTCTTCGGCAACGATTCTAATAGTGATCATTCATCAGAAGCAGAAGTTGTTCCTGGCATGGCAGGCGATGGACAGAAGGATTTTTACTCTGGACCAAACACCACTTCAAACTTGGCACCAGTTGTTTCACACATGTCTTTGGACAGAAATTCCATCACCAAAGATTACATCTATAAACCTAGAATGAATGTAAGTATACAGTGTTCTTTTTGGTCTATAGAGTGATAAATGGTCGTACAGTTCATCAGTACCTCAGTGTGCCTGGGTTTCATACTTGAACCTGCCTGCTGGTTTAGTTAACATCATGTTTTGTTTATATATTTTCTGTAGACTCTATAGAGTTGAATGGCCAGTAGTTCTCTGGGTGTTAGTGAAAGAAAAGTGGATTATTCTGTTATATATGAGAGTATGAAGGTGTTTTCTTGATGAAAATTATTGGTGTGCTATCAGTAACTGTTAAGCAATATGACCATTCTATGGACAGAAACAAACATTTCACCCTGTTCATGTTTGTTAAAAAAAAATTGTCAAAATTACCATGTGCTATAATCTATACTAAAAAATGTAAAAATGTTCATAAAATATTCTAATAAGCATAATTATAAAGTAGAATTTATTTTGCATATTTTTTGGGGGTATTTTTGGGGGTAACTGCCTTGTTTTGCCACATTTGTATTTGATTTAAGTGTTTACACCAAGATTGAGTCATAGTGAAAATTCATTTTTCATTTTTTTACCTCAAAAATATAGTCAATAGAATTAACCCATCGGTATAACAGCCTTTTAAGGGCACACATTTCTGTGAAATTACAGGCAAATTTTTGCTGTGTCAGTCATGTATTAATTTATAAACATCTGAAACATTTAATTTCATATGATAAATGGATTAATCAAAAATTCAATTAATTTACAGTCGTATCAACAATATGTAAAGCAATTTTCAGGAAATCACAAATTAATTCTTAAATCAGTTTCAACTAATTACAAGCAATTCATTCTTCATAAGGGGGCCAGCGAAGAAATAAATTTATATCAAAGTACTAAAATTATATAGTGATACAAAATAATTACCAACCTGTATATGTCAGGTGGTATTAAAATAATTTACGTCATTCACAAAGAAAGACAAGCTACAATTAATGGTATAAACTTCAATTTTGGCTGATACAATTTTATTTTATTGCTATTATCCTGGGTGCAACAGCCTAGGATTATGTGCTAGCATTAAATATGTAATTTTCAGTATCTCACAAAAATCAGGTTTTTATCACAATTGATACAAATTATGGCCTTTTTATTGTAAAATTGTAAAAAGTTTTACTTTTCCCATTTATGCCATAATTTTATATTGTCCGACAAAAATGGCAAGTTCTCATTTCCCTTAGGCTGCAATCATGATATACATGAACTTTTAGTCATGATATTGTAACACTATACATTGTCTTCTATTAAAATGTATGAAATCAACTTCAAAATTAATCAGTTTTTCCCATCTAATAGCATACAAATTGAGTATTTATAAATTGCCTTCACAATTTGTCATTTTCTTAATTGGAAGCTTTTAATTGATCCAGATCTCTGATAAAAGATTTCATATCAGTCTATGTTATCAAGAAGCTTGTGATGTTACCATGATTTTGCTGCGTTTACTCCAGAGATGGGGAGTATTTATTTGTGGGAAGATAACATTACTGTTATCTTTTTGGTACAGGCTAGGGAGCACGTGCAATACAGTTAGGGTGGAGATAATGTTCCACAAATATTTATATATGTTTAGTAATACAAGATTATCCATAAAGTCTGAGTTTCTGAGTTGATGAAATATAATGATAAACTATGTCAACTGGGGTCTGACATTGTCAATTTGCAGACAAATTGATGTGTAGTAGAGAAAAACCACTTTAACTATAAGTTAGTGCTAAACTTGATTTCTCTCTTCCCCCACCCTGTCCCCAACCCCATCTTACCAGTAAAGTGCCTAAGAGGCAGCCAGCTGAATGTTAATGTGCTATCAGTATGGAGCCAAACTACAATAACTCTGCATTCTGTCCATACTCTCTAAGACTGGCTGCTAAATTTTAGCATTCTTTTTTTTTTTTTTTACTAAAATCCCCTTTTATCAACAGTTAATATGTCACAGCAACAAAAGTCAATGATAATAAGAGTTAAGAACTTGATAGTATTTTATATGTATACTATGACAGCCTATTTTATTGATTGTAAGTAACTACCGTTAACTACAGACATTACTAGGCATCATATATTATTATTAAAAATACAGCAATATTTTATTGCTCCAATGTGTGGGAACATTGATCAACTTTCAGTGAACTTTGCAAAGAGTTGTCCTCCATCAATTTTTTTATATGTTCAACAATAAATAACCTGTTTTAATACACATTTCTACAGCTAAATTACAAAATCTATCTATTTCCTGGTTAGATAGACAACAGCAAAAGACGTTAATGTTGTTTTTGGTTTGGTTATTATTTTTGATGTATATTTTTTACTTTATGAAAATCATAAACATGGCTTTATAATATCAGTAAATTCTCTATAAACATTTTGAAATAAGTTGATCGCTGTGTGATGAGGTTGTGTTTTTTTTTTCAAGTAAATCCGCAAAATCTAGGGATTATTTAAATGGGAGTTTTCATTTCTCAACTTAATGTGAAAACACATGACGTCTAACAATGAACTAATACTTTCCACATGAACTTTGGTGCAAAAATATGTTTCTTTCATTTCATATTTCTTTATGTAGCAGATTTTAAAAGAAATTTACTGATGTTTTTTACTTCAAACATTAATATTATACAAGGTGATTTTTTATGTTGTTACGCAAGACTAAAATGATTTTTATGCCGATTCCTGCTGAAAAATAAGAAAGAAAGATAGAAAGTTAAGTGAACAGATGCATTTCGAAATGAGAACTCTGCTAATGTGATAATTCGAAACACAGCAATATTACACCTGTAAACAAAACAAATTACTTTCCCATACTGCTTTAATTGCTGACGGGAAATAGGTTTTTTGTTCCACTAGATTCAGAAAATGTATACAAGCTATAAGAAACATTGAGAGATGACTACAACATTGTCAATACTTACTTTTTCTCTGCTTAATGAATTACAGCATTTTAGTGAGAATCTATTTGATATACAGTAACAGAATGGGGCTTCCATTAGTGGAATTTTGGAAATAATTTACCCCTTGAATTTGACTTGTGATTTTCATAATGTAATGCTTTTACCGTATATAAATATAATGTGGCATTCAATGTCAAACATTTTGCAGTATTTTGGAACTTAATGGAAGCTCTGTCAAAAGATTTTCAGTTTTCTTCAGTTGTTGTGTCAAGTTTGATAGCAGAACGCTTTAAATGCATTTCTGAAATAAGTATTTCAAATTTGTGCCAACCATTTAAAATATAAATTATTTTATTTTTCCTATTACTGCCCAAAAATTTATTTTATCTCAAGAATATGATGGTTATCAGTAAGTAATGAAAGTGGTATATTATTGTGTTACTCCTCTATTTTAATGTGTCAAACATCATAAATCAAAATTATATAATGCATGACCATGCATTATTATATCTGTTTTTTCAATTTGCTTTCAAGTAATAAGATATATAATTGTTCACGCCAAAAGTTAAAAGTATTTTTTTATCTTCGTTTATCTGGCGCTATATAAACCTTGGGATCATTTCTCATAGTTCATCAACTGTCAATAACTTATTTTCACATTATGAATATTGGCTCATATAATTATACCTTTGAAAAAATAATTTTTTGGGGTTATTTTTAACATTATTTTCTTCACATTTTTTTCAATAAATCAAAGATAAGTTTAATGTACAGATATGGTTATTTTCTACACAATGTCCCCATTGCTCGCAAATTGTTGATATTATTCGAAAAACGTCTCATTTAAATACCGCCGTTGTGATTTAATTATTTTGTACCGCTTGCATTCGTATTACAGTATCATTAGTAAAGTGAAATGCTTGACTTTTATTCATCACCAAATTTATTTAAATGTTTATACTTTGATCATAGTGTCATGCTTGTAGTTATTTACCCAGAATGCATCACCTCAAAAGGAAGTAAGTCCATTTGTTCGGACACGAGCGAGTCGTAAACAACAATTTGTGAATCAATTAAACGCTCCGCAGTGGAATATATGTACATAGTACAAATATCATGTTTAAGAATGGGACAGTAAATCATCATGTTAATGGATTGAGTTAGGACTTTATGGTCAACAAGCTTTCAGTATGTCCACAAATCGGAAATTCCATAATTATTTACTGATAAACAAAATGGAATAATTCAAACTACCAATCAACCTGATACCCATTGGTTTGGTGATACTCGCTCACTCAAAATGACTGGTCTCAGTATTTCAAAATAACTGCTCTCTCACTCAAAAAAACTGCTCTTTCCCTCAAAATAACTACTCACTTACTTAAAATAAATGATGCTCTATGCTCGTATATAGATGTGAGATACAAATTTGACAATTTCATATTTGTTAATGGTACATACATGCAAAAAAGATTACTATATTGCAAATATGTCTGTTTATAAAGGTATGAAATGTCACAACAAATATTTCTATTATGGACTTTGACTACATAAAAACCACAGTTTGGTGTGTAGAAGAACTGTTTTAGCATTTTTCTCATTAATGTAAGCTTAATGCTTTGTCATTTCCTTAAATCGCAGCTTTTCCTACCTAATCCTGCCGTTCAGCAGTAATCGCTAAATAAGCGGGCCTAAATTTAAGACTGTATCAATAGAAAGATTAAAATTGATATGCAATTGTCTGAAAACATAACCCGTCGACAAGTAAGTGCCAAAATGTTGTATTATCTATATGCCACAGCTTTCTCTCTAAATGCTTTTCGCACTGGCTGTTGAATAAGAACTTAATTAGGCCCCAGACCATTTTTAAGGGTGTGATAAACAATACTGTTAAAACTACTGATTGATTCGCATATCCTGATATTCAATAAGAAAACATTTAAAGCAATTAGGTCTTGTAATCAAGTTAATTCTCCTGTAGAGTAACTGGCATACGATCCATCAAAATCTTAAAATGGAAATGTAAAAAATTCCCATTGAGAGAATGCCAGTAAACTGGTTTAGGGAATCATTTAATTTATGCCAAATACGTAAACATTCCTGTTTAAGGAAACGATGAGAAAGTGTTTGCAAACACACTGATGTACAAGTTATTTTTTGTGTACAGCAGGGTAAAAGTTGGTAATTTTCATATTGTGTTTCCTGAAAGTGTTATTTTTATGTCAACTTGAGCAGTAATTATGGTTGCCAATTTCATGTTAATGTCTGATACGGTGTCAAATAAGTTGCTGAAACAAAATCGGGTAATTATTGTGACATTTTTGTTCAGTAAATTTGAAAACACAATTCTGCTGCGCAAAAAGGGTTGAATTGTTTGCCCAAGTCAACATTTGCATTTAAACGATTCTTCGTTCAGTAAAATGTATTCAGATGACCAGTATAACTTTTGAATAGAAGATGTTTTGTTCAAATCAAAACATAAACTATACGAAATTGTGGGTTTTCACGAGTGCATCGAATTTGAACGAGCGTACAAATAGGTTTACGATACTTAAATACGGGAACAATAGCTAATAACTCTTACTCCCACCTATAATTTTCACAGTTTAAAAACTCATGAACAAATGTTTATAACCAAATAAAGATGCAAAAAATAGAGTCTTTTCTAATTTCGAAATAGTATCAACTCCTAAACAGGCCTGGTATACTGGCAATCATCTTTACAGGAAAAAAATGTTAAGAGCTACAATGCATATCTCTTTATTGTCTGTTCATGGTTAAGTCAATATATAAAAAATAGAATTGTAGGAAATTAAAACTAAACTTTGTATGGAGACAAGAATTTCTTTCATTTTTAATGATAATTTAAAGTAAATATGTTAAACAGTCCTTGTAATGATAAACTGTATGTCTTTGTAACATTATTTTAACAGTTTCTTCACAACTAAAATCTTAAAGTATTTTATTTTGATACTTCTTTTATACATGTATATATATATTACATATTTATTAGGGCACAGACAGTTGTTTTTTCTCACTTAATTGGGAAGAACCCTTAGCCTTGATTTTAGGAAAAAATTTCTCTAAAGTTGCTAATTTTGGAAGTAAAAAAGCTAGTGCAAGTTCAGATTTTTGGGAAAACTGCATGATTTTAATGAAAATTTCATTTTGGAAGAAACTTTTCTTGGGCCTCTGTTATAATTATAAGGTGAACAATCACTGTCAAATTTGCAATATTTTCTAAATTGTAAATAAACATATGCAAACAAAGGACACCAATTAATGTAAATTTAATTTAGTGATAGATATCTAGTTATCTTGGTCTTAAGTAAATCATTCAGATTTTTTATCTCTTTCTTACGATATTAGACTCCGTGACACCTCAATACTTTTGTCACAGTTTAAAAACAAAAGATTTGGCCGTAGATTTATGATATACACTGATATTAAGAAAATGAGTCATTTTATATCAGATTTTTTGGTTTATTAATACCTTATGTATCTAATAAATGATATGCTTATGATATAGGAGTGCCAATTTATTAGTTATAGTTCTGACACATAGGAAAAAATAGTTATAACATGGATAACTATTAACTGTTGATGATAATTTTAGACTCTGTCACAACACTCTGTATGAGGAAACAGTCATTGTATAGATTTTCATTGAAAAGAATTTTTTTTTTTTGAATTTAAGAAATGTTTTTTGGCTGTCATGTAAATAGGTTTTAAAAAATGAATTAAAAAATTAGATCACAACTTCACAACAATATTTTTATTTAACAGAAGAATTATTGTGACTTGTTTGGGGGAGAGCAATTAAAGATTGGCTTAAAGAGATTAACACTTGCCGTTAACTTTGAATGATATAATCATGAAACCATCTTTATATTGCAATTAAGTCCTTTTGTGACAGTGACACCGAATAGATAGCTATTTTGCAAATATCACTGCACGTGGGGTTCTTAAATTAAAGAAAGAGATGAGAGGATAAATTTCATCAAATAATTTCTCAGTGATTCGTCAATCTGTGAAAATCATTTTTTACAATCTCGATCGTGAAATATTTAATTTCGGTGACTCATTTTGACTATTTGTGAGAAAAACCTCCCACAGAAGTTGTATATAAAAGAATATTGATGTAGCATTATTGGCCTAGTGACGGTCTTTCTCTGGTCCAACTGAATGAAAAAATGTCGTATTTGCTTATCCTGGCATTAAAATGGGCAAACATTGTTTGTATTTTAGGGGGATAATGTATTTCATTAGAGTTCTATTTTCATGTCATATTTGCTCATTAGATTTTATTCATTGGAATTGTAAATCACTCTTTTATTAAAGTAAAATAGGGGCGTGTTTTCAAGTACAGTTGGCAGTAAGTTTTGATTTCTTGATAATGACATTCAATTTCCTAAAGCTGATTGTTTCTTATTAGCCCCTGACCAACATGTAGTCTGCTACAAACATAAGGCTAAAGCTTTCTATACATTCATAATAACCGGAGATTCAATTGTGTCACAATAATTGTTATTTAACTTATGTACAATGAATATATATATATATATTTATATGCCAGCATTTTTATAAATGTTCATAAAATAACATACAAGCTTATTTTTTTCAGACACCAACTCCTTCTATGACGTCTGCTGTTGACCCAACAGACGTTGACATGCAGATCCATGGTAACCCACTGTCACATGACAACAGTGCACCAACCGTAAACAGGCTAGCATCGCTACGCTTACATCAGGCTCTTATACAGTCACATGACAAACAATGGACCAATCAGAATAATGTAAGCAGAATTTCTCTTTCATTTTGACTTTTTATACAATGTTTTGTTATAAGATGCAAGATTAAGATTTTTTTTTTGGTATCAATACTTTCTCAATAGCTTGTCCATTTTGTCATGGTTATTCTTTTTAACAGCAATTTTATTTGTATGTCCAGTTTTTGATATGCAAGATATAATTGAAGGAAATAATTCATTTTTATGCATAAAGAACATAGTAATAAATCTAGACATAAAGAATTTTTTGTCCCTTTTAACATAAAAGATAAAAGGTCATGCAATCACACCTTTTTATTGGGTAATCAACACTTTTTACATATATAATTTCCTTCAGCAGACTTGATATTTCACTTGTCTGTGTAATACCTGATTGAATAATTGTCCGAAATCAATGACCAATCAAAAAACATTGTAACATTTGTGTTACCTGTACCCTTAAAAAAACCTTTGATGTTTTACCTACACTATCAGATGTTGACAGTGTTACACAATTGATTGCTATATTTGACAGCTAGGATCATTACCTTTAATTTGTTGATAGGAAGTTTTCACAAACAAGCATATTGTGTTTTAATCCTTTGATTGAAATTTTACACTTTTACAAAAAGAAACTCTAAAATTGTTAGCATACTTGGTGTGATGTTTTAATTAATGATTATGTCTGGTGTTCTTTAACTTTTATTGTTATGATTGTAAGTGTTGGGGCCATAAAAATGTTAAAAGCCAATGTTCTGTGCCAATTTTTCTGTACAGCCATAGGAACAATCTTAATTAAATAAGAAAATACTAGGCAAAATAAGCAAATAAAAAATAAATGTTTTTATGAATGATTCATTTATATATTGTTTTCTATTCCCATAATTCATCTGTAGGTAAGAACCCCCATCCGTGTAGAATAAAAGTAAAAACTTATTCTCTTATTTCTTTGCAATATGAAAAAATTTTGAAACAGTTTTAATTTTTGTTTACAGACTGATCAGAACAATGACATGTATTTATCAAGGCCAGGAGCCGAGGACACTCATAGTCAACTCTCTGAGGATGGCGATAGTGGGAGGGGCGGGTCTGTTAGTGACGGTCACATGGGAATCTCGCAAGATGCAGGTATAACATAGTTAATGAAATAATGTAGATTTAGTTATTTATAGATTTTGGTCAGATGACTTTGTTATAATTAAATTATCCTGAAATTTTCTGAAGTATTTCGATACAGTTCAGTTTTGAAATATAAATACACATATATAATGTATGATAATTAACTCAAACAGTTGTGTTTCATAATTGATACTTTTGTTTAGATATTCAGCATTGTATCTAATAAATGTTTGTTTTTATTTCAGATGATTTAAGAATTATGCAGCTACAGAACATTGTTCGTCAGAGTGGAAGACGAGGCACCCCACCACACTTACATCGTCAAGATTATGACAATAATAAATATCCGCAGAAACCTTCAAATCTTACACCAAGAGAAAACCCATCTAATCTTACTCCTAGAGACAATCATGTGAACCAGTCAGATTCAAATAATCATTGTGACCAATCATTTGAAAATAGGAAATTAAATCCACCTTACTCTAGATCAAACACAGACCTTTTTTATTCAGAAAATGATAAAAATACAAACAATGAAAGATATCCTCCTTACCAGGAAAATAGTGCACCAACAAAAACAGTGACATTTTGTACAAATCCACAAAAAGCAAAGTCAGGTGCTGGTATACAAATGGGACTATCATCGTTTTCCAGTCAGCATCATCCACACAGTTCCAGACACAGGCCAAATCGGCAACATTCATTTGATACTTTTGACAATTATCGGCATTCACCAAATTTTTCAAAATCGGACCATAGTCGTATGTATCCACATAATAATAGACATTTGGATGAAACGATGGAAAGTGTTACGACAGCGTATGATGACGATGATAATACAACAACATCGGGAAGTTATACCATAGATAATAATGCTAATGAAGACTTTATGGAATTAAATGTTGCACAGTTAAAAGATATTTTTGTGTAAATAAAAACCAAAAAAAACTGAGTGATACAAGGGAGACTAATACAGATTGGCCAGTGATTTGATATTATATAAGTTGTCTCCCTTGCATTAATAATTTTTTTGAAAGTGTTCATTAATTTACAAATTGTATAAAAAAAAATATTAATTTCGATTTAGTCAATCAATTTTACTTTTATTTTAAAAAATAGATAGATTTGGTGATGTACACATTTTTTTCTATCACATTTATCATGAATTGTTAGGTATGTGTCTCAGAAGGGTGTACGATAAATGATGATATGTCCATAAATGAAATAGTTTAAATATGATACAATTATGATAGGTTTCTTGAGGTATTTACTCTGGTTTTCAATTGATTTAAAGAACTTATTTATCTTACACAGTTTTTCATTATAAAGCTGAGATATTTGGTTTCAAAATGGTAATTCTATTTTTTTTTTCAAGTTTAATCCAGCACTTCTTATTGGCTTTGTCAGATATAAGTAATGTCTATATAATCATATCAGATTTTAATAAATATTATAGAACACAACTAACATCACCAGAAATAAGTAATTTTTAAAGTCTTCAAAATTATTTAGAACATCTGATCATTTTATATATTCAAAATCAAATTTTTTATAAAGAATTTTCTCAAATAGAAAAAAAGTTTTTTTGATAAAATACTGATTTAATGACACAAGTAAGAAAATATTTTACTGTAAGTTATCATCATACATAAAGCTACAGTGTAACCTCTGCAGGGCAGTCCACTGTAGACCAACATTGTATACCTTTTTACTTCATAAGTTAAAGAATTTTAAAATAGATTTAACCTCTATAGAGCATAACATTTTGGAAGCAACCAAATTCTTTGCCTTCTTATTGGGTGTTGTTTTGTAGAGGGGTTGTTCTGCATTTTGGTGCCATCATTGTAAACCTACAACAACCAATTTAGGGCAGATATCACATATGTGCAACCAGACAAGCCACATATATGAAATATATATCACAGTAGTAGAAATCTTTTATCCAAATATTTGGTTCTAAAAGTTTTTTAAGTCTAAGGTCACTTAATCTTCCCTTTTTTTTTATAGAAATGATATTATTTTGTTAATGATACTTTGTTATTGATTTGTTTTTGTATATAAACGCTCAGGTGCTATTTATATCTGTATAAAATTATGAAAATAATAAATGTCTATATAAAATAACAAAATATGTTCAGTTTTGATTTAAAAAGAGGGTGTCCATGGCCAAGTGATTAAGGTTGTTGACTTCAAACAACTTGACCCTCACCCTGAAGGTTCCAATCTCATGGACTTCAGATTTATTTATTTGACAAAGGTATCTTGTTAGCTTGTAAAACGTTGGTGATTCTACTTGGTTTTCCACTTTCACCTGAAATAATGCATGGAGGGGACACCTGAGGTCTTCCACCAGTAAAGCTGGAAAGTGGCCATATGACACCTCCTGTGTTGATGTGACATAAAGCGAAACCAATAAGAATAAAAGGCACTGTTTTACACTGATATGTGTTACCACAGATATATAGAATTAGTTATTTCAATGAATATTACAAAAGTATTTCCAGAATCTGATGGACAGTTAATTTTCTGAACCACAGTTAAAAGATTACTATAGAATGAAATTCCAGAGTTTGTGTCTTGAAATTTAGAAATATAATTATGCAAATGATTTTAATAGTTAATGTTCTATGAATCAATAAAAACTGAACTTGATATGATTACAAAAAACTTGGATGAAAAGATATGCAAAACATTCCATTTTGGGTATTTTCATCCAAATTTTTTTTACACTGAAAGGCAATGAAATATCTGGTGACAATAACAGAACCAAGTGAACAATTTCCAAACGTTTGCTAAGGATGCATTGCAAAGGATTAGCTAACAGTATTTTTTGGAAAAAATACTGTTGTTCATTGGGGAAAATATAAATTGAGACCACATTTATGTACATAATAATATGATTACAATGAAATAGCTATTGAGTGTCACAAGGTTACACTAGTTTACAATATATAACTAAAATGGTCTTGCACTCTTATAAATGAATAAAGATTTGAAACTGTTTCCTAACATAATATGTTGTAGTCATAGTCTTTAAAAGAAATTTGCCACAAGTTGAAATAGCAGAACAAGCACAGTTTGCTTTCTATCCTGTCATAAGAAATGTTTATTGTATTGTTATTTCAAATAAAACTAAACTGGTCATGAGATGCTAGGAAATAATGTGGTCAAAGGGAAGCAAATCAAATTTGAAAACTAATCATTCCTAACAGAGTTGTTGTTCCTTTATTGTTAATATTGCCGGAATACATTTGAACATGAAAAAGCATAACCTAAGGAAGGGACTGTATCAAAATACAGACTGCATAACCCAATTACCAGTAAATCACTAACATCTACAAATGATTTTCATTAATTACAAGTAGACATATTGCGACATGGCCATGTGGTTAATGCCTCAGACCACGGATTTATATTGTAATATAAATCCGTGCTCAGACTACTAATTCTAGGATTGCTGGCTGCATGGATTCATTGCCTTGAGCAGGAAACTTCACACTCATTGCTCAGTACTGGTTGGTACTAACAAATTTGAAATATCCTGGTACTAAGAATGGATTAGAAAGTTTGCCTGTAAAGTCACAGCTTCCTTCCCATAATCAAATTAAAATAAATACTGTATAAATAAAGCAGGCAGAAATAAGATATTTTACTCTTCTAAATTTAAAAGCATATAAAAATATTTGAATTCAAACATTTTTTAACAAAAAATGACAGTTTCACAGAAACTCTATCGATCTATACTCAAAGTCTTGTTTGAAAGACCCTTCAGTAGCCTACAGTAAAATGGATGGATGGTGTTGAACCTTAACAATTCAAACTCTTAATAAAGAATTGAAATAAACATTATGACTTGAAAACTAAGAGCTCACATGGACTGAACATTTTATTCAAAATCACCATCCGATCATAATATTAACGTATATTGCCGTAAATATTGAGGTGATTTTAGAAAATGGCAATGTTTTAGTCAAAACCGGTGGCAAGTTTCAATTCATCGCCTACAGTTAATCCTACAAACAAAAATGAAGTATTTGGTGTTAAATTTACTGATTACTCTGTTACAAGTGTATTGTACATTGACAAACGGTGGGAGAAAATTAATTAAATGAATTTGGTTGACCTGTTAATTACAAAATGTCAATAATTCTTTAATAGCATTGTATATAGAGATCTAATACATTTTTTTAATTTTCAGACTTTTTCATGAAAAAAAAAAAACAAAACAAAAAACTTCCTGTCCATTTAACCATTTATAATATATATGATAATTATTTAACGTTGTTTATCTGATGTTAACATGGAGATTAATACATAGAACACATATTCAAAAGTGTGATTTTTTGTTCAAGCCACAAAGAATAAGCAATTTTAAAAAATAAGGTCCCCAACAGCAATATTAATTTAAACTGTTAAAGTTACAAAACACTTCAGCATGTTCAAAGATTGTGTAACATTTCTATCAATTTCCATTGCTTTATTAAAGCTTCCACAATATAGATCTACAGCTTTGCATTTATTGATTTTAGATTGTTAGAACATTTATTTATATATTTTGACTAAAACAATGCTGTAACTTCACTTTTTATAGGGAACAATGTTCAGTCACAAAAACCAAACATTCTGTTTATTGTTGTGGATGATCTCAGGCCATCACTTGGTTGCTATGGGGATGACTTTATGGTGACGCCTAATATAGACAATCTTGCAAGGCATTCAGTCTCATTTAAAAATGCCTATGTTCAGGTAAGACATTTAAGCCAGTCTGCAATTTTCATGTTATTTTGTTGATTTTAATGCTTCGGATTGAGGGATGACTTTTTCACAGATATATATATACATCAGTCATCACAACAGCAGGTGGTGTGAGGCAGCCAAAAAAAGTTGCCCCCTACTAAACTTCAGTCAAGTTTGAGTGTTGTTATATTTTTCTGGTCCTTCAGGGTCATTAATTTCAGCACATTTAGTATTGAAAATTGAGTATCACTCAAGCTGGTGCTAGGTGGCATAAGGGATGTTGCACTTTTTCTTTATCCATGTACAGACTCAGTCAAACCGAATCTGAAATTTTCATGTAATTTTGCTAAGGTTTATGCTTCTGAGGGATCACTTTTTTCCAGATATTTATGAGAAAAGGGATGTTCTAACATAAATAATGTTGTAACAGAATGTAAACTTCTTTTGTAAGTTTCAGATGTTGGATTAAATTCATCTCAGGAATCCAAAAAGAAATAAAATTTAGAAACTGAAAACATTTATATGTAATAACTGCACTGTATCTACAATATAATTGAGCCGCATCACGACAAAATCAACATAGTGGGTTTGCGACCAGCATGGCTACAGACCAGCCTGCGCCACCGCGCAGAGCCTGCGCCACCGCGCAGTCTGATCAGGATCCATGCTGTTGGCTATCAGTTTCTCTACTTGTAATAGGGTTTGTAAGCAAACAGCATGAATCCTGATCAGACTGCGCAGAAGCACAGGCTGGTCTGGATCCATGCTGGTTGCAAACGCATTACGTTGGTTTTGTCATGACGCGGCTCATATTTATTATCAACACAGTCATATTACTGTAAACTTTTAATTTTGAAATAATTTCAGCAAGCACTGTGTGGACCTAGCAGAGTATCATTTTTAACAAGTCGTCGCCCTGACACAACTAGACTGTATGACTTCTACTCATACTGGAGAGTGGCAGCAGGTAACTTTACAACTCTACCACAACACTTCAAACAGAACGGTTACCATACTGTGTCAGTTGGGAAAGTCTTCCATCCAGGTAAACAGTAGTAAAGCTTTTTTCTTCTCTAACAATTCTATATTTCTCTAACTTCGAGCTCTCCTTACAGTCATACTTTTAATACCTTTATACTCATTTCTTGTTTGCTTGAAGAGTTGTAGAAACATTAATGTCAATTCCCCTCTAAGTCATAATACCACTGGTCCCCCATATATTGTGACTTTTATAATAGATTCAATGTCTAACTGAAATATACTGAACATATTTTATAAAATTTAGTAAACAAGTTTAAAAAAATGAAGCCCAAAATGAAATATTATGAAGGTATAAAATCTATTTCAGCATATTTTGAATTTGTGGTAATTTTCATAAACTACAAGTGCTGTTTGTTATATGTAAATTGTTTCCATTTGGTTACTTCACAATACAATTAAATATTTTCAAAATTTTCATGAAAAGTAGCATCGAACTGGAGGCATGCTGCTTTAACTTAATTTTCATCTTGATAGACCCGAAGTTTTACAAATGCAGTCTTGTTATGCATTTAAACATTAACTGGCAGATTATTGTTTAACATTACTATTTTATCACATGTTTATATATTTATTCAGGTAAGAGCAGTAATTATACAGATGATTATCCATACAGCTGGTCTGTACCAGCCTACCACCCATCTACACAGAAATACAAAATGGCAAAAGTAAGTACAAATCTCTAGAAAGCAAGTACAGAAAGAAGTAAAATGAAGTGTCAAAGCATAGTAATAGATTAAAGGAAATTTGTAAAATTTCCAAAAATTTAACCAGTTAATGTACTTGTAGAGTACAGCTTAAAGTGGCCTTCGGGGTTTTATTTTCTGTTGGAAAAACAATTCTCATTAATATTATCTTGGAAAAGTGCATCATATCACTATCATTGTTAACCCTTCTTCAAAACAGTGTCCATAGAGCTTTTTATAACTAAGGCCCCCACGGTTACACGTTTAAACAGATTTGTTTTGATTTTTATTCGTTAGATCAAATGACCATAAATTATAGCCTTACAAAAATTCTTAATCTTTGCCTGTTATCATAAATTCTATCAATTCTAATTGATTTATTCCAAAGTAAAAAAACAACAACAGAAAATGGGTGTTTACAACACAGCATTACATGCAATAATCACTCGTGAAATAATACATTTTTGGTAAAGTTGATTTTCCTTTGGTCTTTCGAAAGTGCGAAATGGGGATACAATGCAGAAAATGTGTGCTGACTCAATCATGATGAGTCCTGAAAATTATTTATTTGTACATGTATTAAAGATAGAAAGTAAGTCATCATTTGGTGACTCGAATACATAGTATAGTATATTACATAGAAGTACCACCGTTTAAACGGTATTGTTTCGACTCTTAACAGTCGTGTAAACGTTTACAAAAAACTGTAAACATGGGAGCCTTATTTATAACATGTCAGTGATGTTCGTTTCTAAAAATAGAAGATCGGGAAAAAATCATTTGCTTTACTAATTTAAATATAGAAAGCGGACAGGTAGAAGAGGGAAGTGAGGCGTTTCCTTTTTGTTGAATGATGATGTTCTTAATCGTTGGCAAAGTTCATTTTCCACATTTATTCTTTTGATTCTCAAAGTAACTTAATCAATGCCACTTTTACTATTGCAAGAATTACATTTATTATTACAGTCAAAGCTATGATGAAGTCGGTCTTCAAATAAAGTTAATAATTTCATTGTGCAACTATCATTTGAAATACCTTTTTTTGACAGACAAAACAAATCTATTACATTTTCTTTTTCTCCCATTACTGACTTCAGCAAATAGGTTTGTCATTACAATGAAACCTCCCTGTATTTTTGTTTGACTGCCAAAATAAATCTCTGTTGATTTATTTTACTGTAAAATAGGTTTGTCCAGGAAATGATGGTAAACTACACATGAATCTGGTATGTCCGGTAGATGTAGATAAAATGCCAGAACACTCCCTCCCAGATCTACAGAGCACCGAGTATGCCACAGAGTACCTGAGAAATGCCTCGCGTAAACAAGATCAACCTTTCTTTCTGGCAGTAGGCTTCCATAAACCTCATATTCCTCTGAAATACCCAAAACAATACCTTAGTATGTATAGAAATATATTTATTCTAAATATCTTTATTTGTAAAAGTTAGCAGCAGACTTAACAGATAGATAAAAGAATATTTTTCCTGCTTAATTTTTGACTTTGGTACACATATTACTACTTACTATGAAAGTTAATCGAACATGTGTGCATTTCAAATGTTTTGCTTATTGGTAAAATTCTGTTTTTGAATTGGAAGTTAAATTTTTATATTACAGAGTTATACCCCTTGAATAAAGTACCTAAGGTAGCAGACCCTGTGTACCCTGAAAAGCTCCCTCCTGTGGCCTGGAATCCGTGGACAGACCTACGAGAACGCGAGGATATACAACGTCTGAATCTCAGTTTCCCGTACGGTCCGATGCCGGAGAACTTTAGTCAGTTAATCCGGCAGAGTTATTTTGCGGCAACATCGTACATGGATGATCAAGTTGGTCGTCTGCTGTCTACACTAGAAACTGAGGGATTTGCCAACAATACTATCATAGTGTTTGTTGGTGATCATGGTATATTTGTATATACATGTACTGTTAGTTTGAACAAAAAATGTAAAAAGTTATAAAAGACAAAAGTAATGGACTTGTAAAATCATTGCAATAAAAAAAGGTTAAAATGATACTGTCACAATATTTATGTTTACTAGTTAGTCATGATTATATTTTCAACTTTCAATTAATAATACTGATAACATAGGCTATTTTTATGTAAATCACCATTAGTTACTTAGTTACAATTGTGTACCATTGAATCTTATTTGCTATCAGTTTCTGTAAAACACAGGGCTGTCACCAGGACATTATTACAAAATTTTATAGAATGAAAAGATGGAGTAAATATATTCTTACCAGTGATAAACTTTTCTTTGTGATGTTTTATATTGAATACTTAATTACATTTGAAGATTTCATAAATAGTCAGCTTGTTTCCATGGTTATAAAATTTTAAAGAAATTAACAAAATATTCATTTTTGTTCCAGGTTGGTCACTAGGTGAACATCAGGAATGGTCTAAATATAGTAACTTTGAAGTGTCTACCAGGGTACCACTAATGTTTTATATTCCTGGAGTTACAGCTCCTACACAACACAGATTATTCCCTCACATCAATCTTCTAAGTGAACCGGATCAAACTATAAAAAGCCAGCCAGAATATATTAACTTCAAGAAATGGTCCAATTTAAATAATACAGCAGCTGTAAAATCTAAGGAATCACAGGCTCTGACAGAGCTGGTGGATATATTTCCTACACTTGCAGAACTAGCTGGTGTTCGAGTACCAGAGAGATGTCCAAAAAATTCAGCAGACGTCATTTTGTGTACTGAAGGAGCAAGTCTTGTGCCATTAATTTTCAATGTATCAAAGATAGAGGATGAAAAATCACAGAAATGGTATAAACATGATAAAAGTAATTTACAACAGTATAAAAGTAAGAATTTGAAGACATTTAGTTCCAGATTATCAGGCAAACAAGCTGTTTTTAGTCAGTATCCAAGGCCTTCTGATCTGCCGTTAGAAAACAGTGATAAACCAAAGTTGCGGGATATTAAAATAATGGGTTACTCTATGAGAACTAAGGAATACAGGTATACAGAATGGGTCTCATTTAATCACAAAACTTTTAAAATGGACTGGACACAAGTACATGCTAGGGAACTATATTCTCACATGAATGATTCTTTGGAAGATAGTAATTTAGCTGGAATAAAACAGTATCAGTCTATTGTTGATCAGCTGTCCAAACAGTTACACGCAGGGTGGAGGAATGCTTGATAAATATGTTTCTTTAAAAAGAATTTAAATGCTCCTTGCCACTTTTCAGTCTTGAAAGTGGTTATTGTGTTCAGTAAACATTGACACAGGCTGTATTCAAAATCCGGATTTTTGTCAAGAATGTAATTGATCGAGCCATATATATGAATATATATAATTATGTTAAATATATAAGGTCAATTAGACCTAAGAAATGGCATTGGCTGCTGTGGTGTATTGGTTAGCATACTGGACCGGCAGTCCAGAGACCTGTGGTTCGATTCCCGTCTGCTGTGTGCCGATCATGCTGGACAGCAAACTTCATTCAAAGTGATATTTCATCACTAACTGCTCACTGTCTGTTGACCAGACTCTAAACTAAACCCATAAATGTGCCATACCTGTATTTAACATTTTACATTTGTCAACTTAATAACATTGTTTATGTGTCCTTGTGTGTGAAGCTGAGGTCTATTCACTATTTACATTTTATGTTTGCCAATTTGCTTTAAGTTTGTAACACCCTAAGGTTAGCCAAAACCATCCACTTGTTTTGGCACCGTATGACCTCATTTGTGTTGGTTTGCTGTAAAACCAAACAAAACAAAAAGCAAAGTTTGCCAATGAATTACCAGTGACTACTTAATACAAAATTGTTCATTTGAGGATTCAAAACATGTTTGTTTTAGAACTAATCAAGAGGAATCTTTTAAGGTTATACAAAACAAATAAACGAGGACATTCTGCTAATATCCTTTTACTAGTTTTAAGCTTTATAAAGTCGTGACAAGTTCAAGTTTGGGATGGATGGATGAAACATCCCATTTTCAAAGAACTAAAATCTGTTTTGGACACAAATGAACAGTTTATGTTCAATGTGAAAACATTAAACTAGTGTATGTAATGCATTGTGTTTTTCAAAATATTATATAATCAAGACGTGAAGTTGTTGAAATTTTAATGTTGTAGATTAAGATACAATCAAAATTAAGTTCACATATTGAATTTTAAACATACTGTGATAGTATACTATGATAAAACTATATTTTGTATTATTTGTAAATTGATAGAATTATATTAAAGCACTTTTATACAATAATATTTTCTTTATTACATTAATGATATAAATCAGTGAAATATTTTGATAATTTTACAGTGAAACAATCAAAATATGATATCAATGTATGCTCATATTAATTTGATAAGCTCATATTAATTTGATAAGCCACTTTTAGGGGCTGCTAAAGCTAAAAATAGAAAAAAATGTTGGACTGAAATAATTGATGGATGATCACCAAATTTTGTCTGTAGTATTCTTAGATGGTCTTTTATCAAGTTTGCTCATATTAATTTGATTGGCCCCTTTAAGGAGCTGCTAAAGCTAAAAATAGAAAAAACCTTTAAACATCTTTTCCTACTGAAATAATTGATGGATGATCACCAAGTATATGTGAGTGTTCATCTGTTCATCTACAGAAATTAGAAACTTCGACGGGAGCGATAACGACAGGAGAATGTTTCTAATTTCTGTAGAACAGCTACAGATGAATACTAACATATTTAGTGTCCAACTTAATTTGGCCTCCTTAATATTCACTTTATTACGTCACTACCAGTCAGCTTTATTTAACAATTACCTGAACATCTTTTCCTACTGAAATAATAGATGATCACCAAACTTTGTCTGTAGCATTCTTATCAGTATCTTTTTTGCAAAGACATGGATTTAAATCTGAACTGCAAAGTAGATCTATATCCTTTATCGATAAAAGCAAAATGTAGGTTGACCTTTTGACGTCATTTTTACTTAATTAATATTCAAAATCAGCCCACGAATGCGCATGTGCAAATTTATGCAAAAGACTATTTTTACAAACATGGTTCTACATGAAGCACTATGAAAAATAGAAGACGACTATGAACGGTATTTGATATAGTATCAACTTTTGTTCTTCTGTGAAAAATAATGCACAGGATTTTTAAAAATTACAGCGTTTTCATTGGATGACAAATAAAGATGGACACTAAACCTTGTCTGTAGCATTCTTAGGTAGTCTTTTATCAAGTTTGCTCATATTAATTTGATTGGCCCTGTTTAAGCTAAAGCTTAAATGCCCCAGGTCATGGCATTTCTTCAAATTATAGTTTAAAGTCAAGATATTCAAAATATTGACAATGTATAATTTCCAACACTGAAAAGCAGTTGTTTCTGGTGAGCGACTTAGGGCCATCAAGGCCCTCTTGTTTCATTTTTTCACTTTTCAATATAAACATAGAGATGGCATGAACAGGAGCAATAGATGTTGTGCAGCAAAAATAAACTTTAAAAATCTTTAATAAACATGAACTAAATCGAAAATGTGTTTGTTTTGCTTGTGATATGACACTATATTTCACTTTTATGAATACAAGCCATAACATTCTTGATTCTCACTCCTTGAAAAAGTCATGAAAATATTGCATCTGGTATTCACTTTGTGAAATATATTTTGATGTGCGCATGCAAAACGAATATGAGTATCCTCTATGAAAAAAAAACAAAAACAAAAAAATGACTTAAAAGAAAAAGAATGCATAATACAGCTGTATTATATTCTCAGGCAAAATAATGTAATTTATTTTTACTAGTGGGTATTTTGGCCCAATATAATTGCAAAACTTAATCTTTAATTGTTACATAAGTACTTTAATGTGAAAAACACATTTTGTGAAAAATCATTTATAGGAACATAATTTTATAAAGATGATGTATTCTAAATTGTATTGAGAGCTTAACTTTTGACTAAACCTTTAATAGAGAGAAACCTACTGACTTTTTTTTTAAATTAGATTTTTAGCTTGACTATACGAAGTATATGGAGAGCTGTCCTACTAGTTCTGGGGTCGGCGTCGAGATTTCAGATTAAAGTTTTGGTGCAGTAAAATATTTTTCGCTATAACTTTTTCATTTCTTAAGGTATCAACTTCAAATATATGTTCCTTATCATCAATCACATCTCCTGTGACAAGGTTCATAACTCTAGCACCAATATTATCAGATTTATCTTCTCTTGAACTTAGAATTTTCCTCAAAAAATACCATTTTTTACTGTGACTTCTTTATTTCTTCAATTCAAATATATGTGCCTTATCAACTACATCTTATGTAACAAGGTTTATAACTCTAACACCAATATTTTCAGATTTATTTCCCCTTGAATTTTCTTACTGTTACTTCTTTATTTCTTAACGGATCAACTTCATACTCAAATATACTTTCTTTATCATCAACCACATCTTATTTGACAAGGACCATAACTCTAGCACCAACATTTTCAGATTTATCCCCCCTTGAACTTACAATTTTCCTCAAAAAATATTATCTTTTACTGTAACTTATTTTTATTTTTTAAGAGTTCAACTTCATACTTCAAATATATTATGTTCCATGTTATGTGACAAGGTTCATAACTCTTATACCAATATTGCAAGATTTATCTCCCCATTAACTTAAATGTTTTTACTTGAAAAATGTTATTTTTTACTCTAACTTCTTTACTTTTACTTTTAAAGGTATCTACCTGGAACTTCAAATACTTATTCCTTATCATCAACCGGATCTTATGTGACAAGGTTCATGATTCTTGAAGCAATATTTTCAGATTTATCTCCCTATGAACTTAATTTTTTTTAAGAAATAATATAACTTCTTTATTTTTTAAGGTATCTACTTCAAACTTAGAATATATATTTCTCATCATTACACACGTGTGTGACAAGGTCCGTAACCCAATGTGACTATTTCCAGAATTTTTTCCCCCTTGAACTTGGAATTTATGTTTACAACTATAATTCTTGTCATAAGAAGAAATATATTTATATCATAATTTTTTTTCTTTCATAGTTTTGTCTTTCTTACTGTGTCTAGTATTTAATCAGTCGAGCTTCTCTGTCTCCTGTGACAGCTCTTGTTGCTATTCTTATCATTTTACTTTTTTTTTTATTTTAAATTTAAAATTGTTTCAAGTTTTCAAGAAAACAAATCCTGAAGATTGTAAAAACAACTATTTTTAGCTAGACTTCCCATAAAATTGTCAGACATTAAAATTCACACGAGAGCTAGTATTACATTGGAGGACAGTTATAATCTGTGACAAGAAAAATAAACACATCAACATGCATCCCTGTTTTTATAAGAATGGTATAAACTATACATAAGAAAATAATTCCGGAAGCATACTGTGATATACCTGTATGTGATATCACCACATGCATATACTGAACAGGTATAAGAGAGTGTCTGGAGTATATAAATAGCTGCATAGCATGAACAGTACATTTACTATTAAAGGGAGATAATTGAAATTTTGTAAAGAGTTTAAAACTTTTTTTAAGTGTTCTTTTTACCTCACTTCACTATTCCGAATGTTAACATTTGAAAGGCAAAGGCTCAATTATGTTAAATTAATAACGGTTCTTTAACTGTTTTATTTAAAACAGTGTTTTTTCTCGTATTGAAATTCATAACACATTCAGTATTTAGTGCAAAAAATATACTGTATAAATTGATGCTGATATTAGGTTTTGAGAAGGAAGTCCGCCGCCATTGAGTATATAGCTCCATGGGTTGTCTTAGTGTAATGGTAGCACCTAAATACACAACCCAGGCTGGGTACAAAGTTTAAACAACCGGTTTATTTGTACCCAGCCCCAGAATGGCTGTGTTAGTTTAGGTGCATGTACTGAGACAAGTTACGGCTAAGTTCTAACGGGAACAAAGCTAGGTAGCTGCAGTAGCCAGTATATGGTACTTATGAAATCTCAATGGTATCCCTTGACTTCCCATTTTCAAAAAAAGTATTTTATACAAAGTTCCTATCTAGATAACATGAAATAATTTGCCTGTCTTGTAATACATGTACAAGATAAATATATTTCAAATGAGGAATTATGATTAAAGTCAAAATTATTGAAACAGTATTATGAGTAAGTACTATGTTGTATTACCAGTTAAAAAACAAGAGGGCCCAGGATCGCTCACCTGAGAAATAGGTCACAAGGTCAAAGTGGAGCCCCTTTTCACCCTAGAAGCACAATTTGATAACAAAGGACTGCTTAATCTGAACAATTTTTGTACACTGTCACAAAGGAAATTTTTGTGTAAAATTATTTCAAAATTGAACCAGTGGCTTAGATGTTGTTTTCAAATTTAAGCTCTGGCAGCCATTTTTTAAAAAGTTTAGCATGTCATTAAGTGAGAGGTAAGCTAATAAGAAGATGACAAAAAAAGAGAAGGAAAACAAACATTTGACCTGGCTGGGGATTTAACTGTGAACCTCCATCCCCCCCCCCCCCCGAGTTGGAGCCAATTTTGACCCTAGGGGTTTTATTTCAACAAACATGGTAGATATAAACTAAAACATGTTTCATGCAAAATATCTAAGCTCTTTTGGATTTTCACAAGAAGATTTTTTAATTTTTCTATAAGGAAAATCAATGACCCCTGGGGCCGGGGCAATTTTGAACCTAGGACATTTATTTTAACCATGGTAGACATCCACTAGAAGATGTTTAATGCCAAATATCTAATCTCGGTGCTTTTTGGATTGTCATACGATTTTTTTAAGTTTTTACTGTATACATATGAGGAAAATCAATGACCCCCTGGGGTTGGGTCAATTTTGACCCTAGGAGTTTTATTTGAACAAACTTGGTAGAAACCCACAAGAAGAAGTTACATGCCAAATATCTTAGCTCTACATCTTTTGGATTTTCACAAGGTTTTTTTTTTTAATTTTTACCACTAGTATATACATACACATGTATAAGTGAAATCAATGACCCCTGGGATGGGGCCAATTTTGACCCTAGGGCTTTTATTTGAACAAACTTAGTAGACATCCGCTAGAAGATGTTTCATGCCAAATATCTAAGCTCTAGCTCTTTACAAGAAGATTTTATAAGATATTTTGTAAAAAAAAAATATTTCGGTTGCCAATGCAACCAGTGTTCTCATTGAATTTAATTCTTTGAACAACTTTGGTTGAGCTTCATGCAAGGTACATCCCTGCAAAGTTTCAACAAATTTGGCCTAGTGGTTAAGGATGAGAAGTTGTTTAA